CAGAAACCAATGAGGGAGTGAGTGTAGGTACGTGTACATGTATAGGTTTGTGCAAATACTCCCATGTTTGTCTGTGTATGTGTGCCTGATAAGCGTGTGAATATGGAGCTCCATGTTACCAACTTACCACCGTCATGACCCAACCACAAAGGAGGTGAGGGTTTTATCAGCTAAACAAACTGAGCTCCAAATCTGCTAGAGTGACTTCAACAAGAGAGTAAAGACAAGAATGAGTCGGAAGAAGCAAAATTCTATAATGAACCATGAGACTCTTACATTACCCCCCCCCACACACATACACACACATACACACACTTGTAAAATGCTTGTAGCAGGTGAACATCATTTACTAGGTATAAAACAAAAGTAATCTTTTTGGGTAAAAAGAAATATATCTGGATAAATGACCATGACACATTAGCATTTGAAGAGCCCTTGGTAAAAGCTTCCAACTAATGCTGGGCAATGAGGCATGCCCATTGACTTATCATGCCAACAGAGACATTGCTTTTCTTTTCTTTTTTTTTTTTACTGTTTTTACATTTTTTTATTTATATATTAAGGATTTCTGCCTCCTCCCCGCAACCGCTTCTCCTTTCCCTCCTCCTCCCCCGATCAAGTCCCCCTCCCTCATCTGCTCGAAGAGCAATCAGGGTTCCCTGACCTGTGGGAAGCCCAAGGACCGTCCACCTCTATCCAGGTCTCGTCAGGTGAGCATCCAAACTGCCTAGGCTCTTCCAAAGCCAGTACGTGCAGTAGGATCAAAAACCCACTGCGATTATTCTTGAGTTCTCAGTATTCCTCATTGTCCGCTATGTTCAGCGAGTCCGGATTTATCCCATGCTTTTTCAGACCTAGGCCAGCTGGCCTTGGTGAGATCCCAATAGAACATCCCCATTGTCTCAGTGTGTGGGTGCACCCCTCGTGGTCCTGAGTTCCTTGCTCGTGCTCTGTCTCCTTCTGCTCCTGATTTGGACCTTGAGATTTCTGTCCGGTGCTCCCATGTGGGTCTCTGTCTCGAGACATTGCTTTTCATATTGAAAGCAAAGTAGAATATCAACTACTATTACACGTGATAAGGGATTAATGTGGGGCTTGGGATTCCCTTCAACAGTAGTTTTGCGGCACCTAACTCAAAGCTTCCATTTGGAAGTGAGTTTCCTGTTATCTCTTCAACCCTACATGTGCCCACCTTTCAGGTTTAAATATTCCCAAAGAGTGGCAGGTATCTGTGCCTGCTTTGTTGTTGTTGTTGTTGTTATGTTTAAGTCAGCAACACTACTTCAAACAACACAGTAATTGTCAATAGTAATTTAGTAAAAATTTTATCTGATACTGGAAAAAAATCCCAGAATAAACAATATCCCATTACTGGGATTTATTTTCAGGAAATTGATAAAAAAAGTTGTTTCCTAATTGATTAATTAAAGGGATATAATAATGTAGTTGTGGTAAGGTCTGTTGCTTCTTTTGCTAAACTCTCAACAAACAAAATAAATCTAGATTATACGTAGGTTAATTCATCTATTTTTAAGATTTTTTTTTACATTTTTTTAAAGATTTTATTTATATATTATGTATACAACATTCTGCCTCCATGGATGCCTGCAGGCCAGAGGGCGCCAGATCTCATTACAGATGGTTGTGAGCCACCATGTGGTTGCTAGGAATTGAACTCAGGTCCTCTGGAAGAACAGTCAGTGCTCTTAACTGCTGAGCCATCTCTCCAGCCCTAAGATTTCTTTATCATTTTTCAATTTTATGTCTATGAGTGTTTGACGGCATGAATGTATGTGCACTATGTGCATACAGTGCTCACAGAGACCAAAAGAAGTTACTCGATCTCCCGGCAGTGGAGTTACAGACAATTGTGAGCTTCTTTGCATGTGCTGGGGATCAAACCCAAGTCCTCTGCAAGAGCAAAAAGTGCTTCTAAGTGCTGAACCTTCTCTCTAGACCTAGATAACAGCATATAAGCAAATGAATATGTTTTTATTAATTTGAATATATTTAAAGTAGAGAATATATGTCATTCACCTGTCTCCCTCACAGCATAGGTCAGCAGCACAGTGCACTGCAGACCAGGTTTCTACTCTCATCATCATGTGACTGATGGAGCCCTGTGGCCTCCTGCTGCCTTCCAGTATCACAAATGAGTACAGTGCATCAAATATCTGGATCCAGAAAGGACCACACTGTAAAATTCAGCTGTGCTTAACTGCTTGCTATGGCTGTGATAGACCAGAAGTCATCTGGGGAAGAAAGGGTTTCTTTCAGTTTTCAGGTTCCAGTCTAAAATCAGGGAAACCAAGGCAGGGACTCAAGGCTAGAGATTACAGCACTAACCATGCAGAGATGCTGCACACTGGCTGCTCCTAGGCTGACACTCGGCTACTTTTTATTTTGCAGCCCAAACCAAGCCACTGAAGGATGGCACTGTCCATGGTTGCCCGGACCTTCCAATTTAAATTCGTAATTAAGACAATGTTTCACAGACGTGCACACTAGTCTCTAATGGGATGGATGCAATTACTCATCCTTATTTGATGTTCCATTTCCCCAGATATATCAAGCTAACAACCTATATTAGAAAACAAAGAAATGCAGTTTTCCATGAATTTTAAATCATTATGACTAGGCTGAAACATAGCCTTGTTAAGTAAAAGAAGAACCTTGTAGTCAGCACTTTTTTTTTTTTTTTTGTCAATGAGAAATTAGTTTGCTTGTTTCTTGGCATGGGAATATGTGCTTCAGGATTTGATTGACTCTTGGAAAGCACTTCTTCATCCTGTTGATTGTGGAAGTGTCTTTCTTGCAAAAGTTGCTGAAATGCTTGAAGAAATAGTAGTTGGTTGGCAAGCGGTCAGGTGAATATCACAGATGAAGCAAAACTTGACCGCGCAGTTTGTTGAACTATGAGATGTTGGCTGTGCAGTGTGCTGTTAAGCATGGCCTAGAATTGTGTCTTTCTTATGAGCTATGGTGGCTGCAAATGTTGCTGATTTTGACACCTGTCATCAGTTTGTTGAACATACTTCTCATAAATGACAATTTCTCTAGAATTCAAAAAGGTTTAGCCAGTGAAACTGGAGGAAGACCACTAAACAGTGACCATAACAATTTTCTGGTACCATTTGGCTTTGGAAAGTGCTTTGGTATTCTTCAATGGTCATTGCTGGTATATAATCCTCTTTTGGTTCCACAACTCAGTTTGATTGAGAAACGGTTTGTTGTTGCGTAGAATAACAGACAATGACAATTCAAGGGGACATTTTAAATACTAAGCACCTACTTACTGAGATTTTGCCTCTCTGGTTTGATCAAATGTTGAGGGATCATGGAATAACTTTGCAGTCTTTGTTAACTTCACATGTACTTGGAAGTAGAGCAGCTTAGATGCTTGTTCTCAATTGTTATCACCAACTCCTGATAACTGGTCACTGAGCTTCAAGGCTCTTCTCTTCTTGCCAAACTTCTTGAACCACTGTGTACCAAATGTACATTTGTAGTAGTTCCTGTGCCAAATTCATTGCTGAAGACGTAAGTTGTCTTCACCACTTCATGGGCCATTTTGAATATGAATAAAAAATCACCTGCATCTGCTTTTTTGTCTAATATTATTTCCAAACTAAAAAAATAGGGAATAAGGATCTTCAGCAAAAATAAAAAATAAAAGAAAGTAAGAAATGCACATTAAATGCTATAGAATATAAGTGTATTTATTAAAATGTATTCACATATTAGAGAATATTTTAGCAATATAAAAGCTTCAATTAGTTTCTCACCAGCCTGTAGTACTGTTTCCCCTTAATGTCTGTCACCTTCCCACTATCATAACGTCAAAACTCTCTTAGGCTGGCATCGTACTCTGTCTGTCTCTAGAGGCACACACATACACACACATACATATGTATGCATAGTAATATATTTATAGGTACATATGTGAATGCTCTATTTAATCAAGTAAGTAAATTACAACCTTAAGCAAGTACATCTTTTTTATATTTTCTTTGTAAATTCTCTACTCCATGTGACTCTGAGTCTGACACAAAGAGAAAAAATAAAAATTCAGTGTTCTCCATAACAGTCTGGTGGTCAATGTCTTGGTTATCACTGTTAGTAGAGCTGAGAATAATATTCAAAGTTAGTAGTTATGAATTAAGTGCTTGGTGCTTTATTTATGTACGATGACTTCAAATCTGTTTGTCTTTAAGGGACATACTTTCTTACTTAAAAAAAGAAAACAAAAGCAATATTACAATATTGCAGAATTCCAAAATTCAATAAAAAAATTAACCACTACTTATTATCTAATAGAAATGACTATGTGGATAAGTATATGGTGAATTTTTTTTGTTTCTTTGTGTTTTTACTAAGACCAATATTTTGAACCTGAGACTGTGGTAGAAGGATATTGGGGGAATGTTTTGCTTCTACCATATAGAAAGATTACTTTTTCTAAAGGAAGACAAATAAAGCTAAATATCATTCAATTTAGTGTCATCATAACTTACCAAGAGGTCAACATTAGGAACTCCTCTGCAAGAGATAAATATGGTAAAATTTCATCAGAAAATATTCATTGATTTATAATCAATGTTTTTTGAAATTATCTCTACTTTTCTCTACCAAAAACCACCAGGGAAGACCACTTTCATTTTGATAAACCACTGATGTTCATCTGAACAACTTGTCTGTTAGACACCCCTCAATAAGAGAACAACATATTACTTACTGTAGTCTACCCACTCGTTTACATATTAAAACCTTTATCAAAACCATATTAGATGATTACATATTAGGGAATTACAATAATAATTACATAGAAAATGCTGACATGACTGCATCCGTATTTCTAATAGCTGAAAAATGAACAATAAATTATAAACTGATTGAGAGTTTCTATGACTGAGAGATCACATTTCACAGGGTTCATACCTGGATTTCTTCCCTGGACACCGTGAGTCACCCCTGAATAGTTATTTGCTTTCTTCCCATAGTAAGATATTTCCCAAAGGCCTTCCTGAGGAGTACTCTGTAGCAGTCATGTTTCGAGTACGGAGAAGCACCAAGAAGGAGCGGTGGTTTTTATGGCGGATTTTAAACCAGCAGAATATGCCACAGGTAAGATGTTAATTTGTTTCATTAGGTCAGATGGTTCTCTGTGCTGTGCACCCAAATCTGGAAACAGACATAGTTAGTACTCAAATACTGTGTTGGTTAGAGGACTCATCAACAGAAAATGGAAGCATTATAAATAGGAAAGCACTGATGATATCAACGATGTGGGAATTAGTACACCAGAGGTTTGAGATTTGTTTTGTCTTAAAGATTTATTTTTATTTTATGTACCGAAATATTTACATGTATGTATGTACATGTGTGTGTGTGTGTGTGTGTGTGTGTGTGTACACCATGTCCTTATCTGATAACCAGAGAGGCCATAAGAGAGATTCAGGATATCCAGAAACTGGAGATATAAACAATTTGTACCACCAAGTCGATGCTGAGACTTGAATCCAGGTCCTCTGCAAAGCAGTCAGCGCTCTGAACCACTGAACCGTGCCTCCAGCCCTAGAGATTCATACTTTATCTGAAGACAGTGAAATTACTTTCTTTCTACGGGGGCTAATTGACTGACTTCACCCCATTAATGACCTTCACTTCCTCTCATAACTAATATCATATATTATCCCGATACTTAACAATTATTTGTTTCATCAATAAACACAAATAAGAGCCACATGCCTTATGCGAAGAAGTGATGAGAATAAGAAATTTAGGTCTACGGAGATACCTCAGTGTCTAAGGGAAAGCATTTGTCATGCAAAACTGAGGGGTGGAGTTCAGAACCCCAGCACACACATAAATGCCAGGTGAAGGTGGGGTTCACCTGTAAGTCCAACATTCACGAGGTGGGAGATGGGATTCCCAGAGCAGTTTAGCTAGCAAGACTAGTCAAATCAATGAACTCTGGGTTCAAGGGAGAGGCCTGGCCTCAATACAGAAAGTGGAGAGCACTTGATTAAAGGCACCTAATGTCAGCTCTGGTTTCTACATTCTTGTGAACATATGTGCATCATACTTACACACACATGCACACACACATCAAAAGAAAATAAGAGATTTTTAAAAGCATAAGTCATGTTCTTATGGAGCAGAAAGTCTATATAATGGGAGAACATTTATGAGAACTTATACAGCACAGTTATACTGAAGGAAGTGTGATGGGCTATGTCTGAACAAGAAGGAAGAGTGGAGAACCCAGGAGACCTTGTGGAAATGACGGTGGAGCCAAAGTGATGACGCAAGCACCCTACAGACTTGAACATTAGTTATTAGCATCACTCATTTGTGTCCACTTCTGTACATAACCATTGGACACCTTTAGCTCTGGCTGATCTTCTCTGTTAATATAGTTCAAAATTTTATGATGGGAAGACAATTTGAACTGAAATGCATGTCATCTATAAAATATCTATCTTTGCCATGAAAATGATTAAGGGCTTAAAAGGACCATGTCAGTTGTCATGTAAAAAGAAATGCATATATTGTTTTTCTTTTAAATTGTAGTCTGCATACTCACGTAGAACAATGACATAGATGAGCATGTTTAGGTATGTGATAATATCAATAACTTTTATACTTCATAAAATGACACTTTTATGAAATCATAACACAAGTATATAGTTATGATTGCATTTATAAATGTGAAATAATCATTTGCATTTGTATACGCATGTACACCCTTTTATGTTCTTTTGTGAAGGATGCTTCATGCTAACACACTTGAAGCAAAATACTTGCTCTTTTGTATCCACCAGTGTGGCAGGCACAATTACTGTCTCTTGTTTAGCCAGTTCTTCAGTCACACTGTTGAACACATGGAGCTTTTATTTGAGAGCTTTACTAATTTTGAGCATTGAGTCTCAAGCCATATAGAGATACTCTGTTATCTTTTTTTTTTTCAGATTTCTATAGTGATTGACGGCACAAAGAAGGTGATAGAATTTATATTCCGTGGTGCTGAGGGGGATCTGTTGAACTACGTTTTTAAGAATCGAGAACTCCGCCCTCTCTTCGATCGTCAGTGGCATAAACTTGGCATTGGTGTGCAATCCCGAGTCCTTTCTCTCTATATGGATTGTAATCTAATTGCAAGTCGGCACACGGAAGAGAAGGACTCTGTGGATTTTCATGGGAAGACAGTTATTGCCGCGCGAGCTTCAGATGGCAAGCCTGTGGACGTAAGTGTAATAGTAATACTTACACGGTACTTCCATCATCTCTAATTTAAAGCAAAATATATCATTAAGAGAGGCTTCCTGGGACCGTGGATGTGACTCCATAAGAAGTGAGCTTGCATAGCCTGCATGGCACCTGAGATTTGAACTCCAGTACCACATAAACCAGGCATGGTGGTTCATGGTGTGTCTCCAACCACAGACTGCAAAGGTATAGGCAAGGGGATGGAAAGCTCCGTTCAGGATCATTCTTAGTCACATTGTGAGTATAATGTCAGCATGGCTACAGAAGATTCAGTATAAGAAAGAGAAAGGAAAAGGAAACAGGAAGGACAGAGGGAGGAGGGAAGAAAGGAAGGAAGGAAAAATGGAAGGAAGGAAAGAAGAAAGGAAGGAAGGAAGGAAGGAAGGAAGGAAGGAAAGAAGCGAGGGAGGAACCCATTTCCTCCTTTAATGATTACACACACACAAACCTCCTTCTCATCAATGTTTATAATGTCATTAAATATCCGAAGAATATTTATTCCCAACCCTATTTTCTCAAATAATTATATTCTATATTTTATTTTCAACCTCATTTTCCAGTCAGCAAATTTAAAATAAATGTATCATGCCTTTAAACACTAGATGATTGGGAGTAACTTTGAGCAAAAAATTGAAGATAGGAGACAAAGAAAGTATAAACTTGGCCAAACTTTTGTGTTTTAAGTAAAAAGATGGGAAAAAGGCAAACTTTAAATGGTTCCAGACTATCTGATGTTTTTTTCAAGAACAATAGGCAATTCATTTAAGCAATTTTACTTACTGCATTTTCCACAACTTATAATGTCCTTTTAGAGTTCCTTTGCACAGAAAAACAGTCATTAAATCTAACAGTGGCTCATTTGGATGAGCAGACAGCTAGGAAAACTCAGATGAAAGGCCCTTTAAAAATTACATTTTGAAGCTAAGGTGATATAGATTTACTGTCGATTTTCTTGCAAAATAAGGGCTGTGATCTTTAAAGGGAGAGATCTGCCTATATTTAATAGCTAAATATTTTCTTATGGGTAAAATGGTAAGAAAGTCTCCAGAAATCTGAATGCGGATGACCGGGAATAAATGCCAGAGGTGTAGACACAAAGTGCTGACATTGAAACCGCATTTCAGAAATAAAGTTTGGGAGTATGTTATTTCTAAAGATCTGTTTGGAAGGAAAGATGTATAGATACAAATACATATTTAGGAAATATGTATCTTTTGTTTGTTTTTCAAGACAGGGTTTCTCTGTGTCACTTTGGAGTCTGTCCTGGAGCTCTCTCTGTAGACCAGGCTGGCCTCAAACTCACAGAGATCTTCCTGCCTAAACCTCCAGAGCGCTGGGAGTAAAGGCCTGTGCCATCAGCACCTGGCCAGGAAACATGATTTTTAAAGCATTTTTCTCCTAGAGATTGTGCGTGAGCAGATCAGAAAGACAAGACTGTCGGGCTCTGTGGTCAGGATGATGAGGAATAGGCAGAGCAGAACAGCCTGTCCTGGGGACATGACAGGGCCACAGAGATTGCCCGCTAGCTTGAGTCACAATCTCAGCTTGCATCTGCTAATTTGTCAGTGTCTTCACTTACAAAACAGATTTGGTGGAGTTGATTGTTGTAATAGTGTTGGATTTGCACCATGGTTACTTATTCATAATCTGGTCTCTACAGATTAGAATATGAAAGAAACACACACACACACCCTAAAACAACAACAAAGAAAAACCAACCTAGCAATCAACCAAACAACAGCAACAAAAAAAATCCTTACTGTTCTTTGCTCTCCAAAACCTCTAAGCTTGTAGTAGAACTAAAATATGTCAATAAATGGTGGCTGTAACTATTAACATATCATTTATCACTGTACAGTATACTAAGTGGGTCTTTGACAAAGCTTCCATGAAGGAGGAAGCAGAGACCATAATGTGGTCCATCACCATTGTGACTCATCTTTATAATCTACAGACCGGGACGCCTTGCAATGGTATTGGAGAACAAAATCAGCTTCCACATGTATTTATTTTTTAAAGATATACCCTACATATTTTAACTGGATACAAGCACTTTTATTTTCTTTTACTGATCAAAATTATGTTGTTAAAAGACACTAATAATTAACAGATATGCATGTAACTGCTCATCCAGTCATTTGAAAACATGTTTATTTCAAATGGAATGCTCATTAGATTTAGCTATAGTATGTGTATAAGTGTTTTGCTTGCATGTACTTAGTATGCACCATGTCCATGCCTGGTGCCTTTGACAGCCAGAAACAGGCATCAAATCCCCTGGAACTGCAGTTAAAGATGGTTATAATCTTCCATGTGGGTGTTGGAAACAACCTGTGTCTTCTAAAGCTCAGCAAGTGCCCCTAACTGCGGAGATACCTCACTCAACCACCAAAGTGTAATCTTAATTTCTAGAAGGCGAATTTGGAATTTATTGTCTTTTGGTCCAGTACATATTGTATCCTTTATAACAATGGTACTAAAACTTCAGCACATATTTTTAATTTTTCTTAGAGAATTTCATTCAAAGTATTTTGTTCATGTCCACCATCTTCCTCCATACCCATTTTTCCAGTCTGCCACATCCACCTTCCCTTTCATGGCCTTGTTTCTAAATGACTGTATCTACCCGAGGCTTCCAGTACATGCATGGGTGTAGAGCCACCCACCGAAGCATGGGTGGCCTGTCAGGAGCCAGCTCCATGAGCAGAACCAGCGCTCCTTCCTCTAGTACCACCAGCTGCCCAAATGCCAAAAAAGTGACTCTTCTGCAAGTAGAAGAAGCTTCTGTAAAAAGATTGTGAGTCTTTTGGTTTAGTGCTATTGACTCAGGATCGTTCAGGTGGTCCAGACTGTCTGGAAAACCACATATAACTCAAGTTAGCCTCGAGATAACCTTCTTCTTGCATCAAAGTCAGCAATATGAGTAGTTCAGGCAGGTGCTACAGGGTTCAGCTTTTGAGTCTTGCTGAGGATGGCACTAATAAAAAATCAATAGGCTTTATGCAGATTTCATTAAGCATAGGTGAAAACTAAATATCTTCTGTTTACTTTATTAGGAATGACACATTTACTTCATACCTCAAATAGGACGTTTGGACCTAAAGAGAAAGCCTTTTCCATTCCATGTCCACACCTTCGTCTACCTTCCTGCAAAGTTTTACTTTTAAATGCCATTTTGTACAATAGTATATGGTAGCACATAGCAATATATCTCTAATTAAATGTTTGTCTCTATTGCCTCCTTAATTCAACATTTCATTTTTATTGCTTGAGACCATTAACTCATTTCCTGTCTGAAGATCTTCCTGTGTAACTGATGGCTTCTCAAATGATCCTTAAAGTAATGAATCATAACTTAAAATTGAACGCCATAAATATGTTATGTATCCATCACTTACATTAACTTTCTTTTCCTTCTATTTGAATTGCTATAGCTCCTAATGCCTGGATTTGATTATCAACACCAATGATGCGTATTACTATTTACCTTTTACAGATTGAACTTCACCGGCTCATAATCTCCTGCAATGCAGACTTCCTAGCTAAGGAATCATGCTGTGACCTAGCAGCTACTAAGGTAGGCTAAGTTTCTTACCGGGTAAAACACGAACACATGTTCGTTATCTTTTAACTTAAGGTCTGCAGATTCTGTGTGTGGGACAGTCTGAAGTATCTCACCTGAGACTGGATGGATGAGCCCTTATTTCCAGTAGGGAGCCCTTCCAAGTACCTGCCCAAACTTCAACCACCGGGTTGATCATTGCAATTTGATGGTGATTTGTTCTCACTCTGGACTTAGCATAGCTCGAAGAGGACTAACATCTTTCCCCTAAACCTTTCACTCTTGTTTCATCTGAGACCCCAGCTGACTGGAGGTGCTACCCCAATTAAAGTTAGGTCTTTTTTGCATTAATTGGACTCACACTTTAAGTTAAGTCAGCCTGTCTGTCTTGTATAGTTTTGCTTTGTGATACATTTTATTTTTTATTTTTTCTTTTCCCTGTCATTGCCAAATCCGCTTTTACCTGATGCCTGGCTTTCACAGCATCCTGCCAACTGCCTTTCTAGCACACCTTTTTTTCTTGGCGGCATGACCAGAATGAGTCTCTAAATCACTAGATTATATGTTTATTGTTTTCCTACAGTAGATATTTGCTTTTAACCATGGTACTAGTAGACACCGAACTAAGAAAAAAAAATTACTTACATGAACAGAGTCCCTGTCTGGTCATTTTTTTCTCAAAGTCCTTAGTGGTTCCCTGTTGGCAATGAAATATCAACCCAGTAGAGTAGTCTCCCATGTTAACTAGTCTTGACTTTCTAGACAAATCATTGCTCCCACATCCATGTTCTTCATTCCCACAAAAAAAGAGTCAGTGTGTTCTGTGTCTCACTGCACTAGTCCTCCGTACCATAATATAATATTATGAATATAATAATTGTTTTTAATTGATTGAAGTACAAATTAGACAGAGATGGAGGATTTACTTTCAAATTCTTTCATATCTATCACATTGTTAGCAAAAGATTGTCGAAGTATGTGTTAGTTTGTTTTACACTGTCTGACAAAATATTATGACCAAAGGTCACTCATGGGAGACTTTTTTTAGCTTATGATTCCAAAGGAAGAGTCCAAAATGGTGGTGGGGAAGGTAGACCTGGCAGGAAGCTGAGAGGTCACCTCTTCAGCCTAAAAACAAGGCAGAGAGTAAGAACTGGAAGTAGGACAAGGCTAGGAAGTCTCAAGGTCGTGGCAGTGACTCCCTTCCTCCAAGGCAGGGCAGCCCTCAAACAGTACCACATCCGGGTACCAAGTGTTGAACTATTTGAGCCCTTGGGGGTCATTTCTGCTGAAAATCAACAGAACCTCTTCGTTTGCTGATTTGTCCACTACGAAGTTGTGAGAAGGGAATAATTCTAAAAAACTCACCGAAAGCACATACAGAAAACAAAAATCCAAGATTTGATAAAGTTCTATTTCTTTGAATCTTAAATTTCCCCAAATTTCTACACTTGCTAAGAAGACTACATGAAATTTTAACCAGGGATTTTTAATTCAAGAATTCACATACCTTCTCTCATGCAGTTTGAGTAGCAGGGTGAAAATCTAGCCAAATAACTCCAGTCTTTCAAATATTTTGTCTTGCTTATATAACTTGGCTGTACAAAGCACATCTCAAACTCAGTTTATGGATCCCATTCCAAGCGAAGTGAAAGTCTGCCAAATATCTTTCTATAAATATCTGAAAAGATAACTTGAATGCCAATCTACAGACTTGAAATACCAAGGCTGCCTGAGCCTATACCTTTAATCATGAAATCCAAAAGTTTCTTTTAAGTGGTTATGATTGTATTTTATTAGGGTTCTTAAAATAACCATCTTCTGCCATTTAAAAGTAATACAGTGATGGTTTAATATCTGTAAATGTAATATTCTTGACCAGTATTCATTGCCTTATGTAAACTATGGTACTATAAAAATGGTTTATATATGTATAGGTGAAGAATTGGATAAAGTAACTTTTAGTAGCTAAAGTAAGACTTGACGTCACAATTGTTAACAGTTCTTGTTACTTTCACACTGCTAACCTTAAAATTAAATAAAAATAATGTTTATAAGGATTATTTGGAAATTGGTTTTGTAGTTGAAAATAAGTAAGGAATTCATACCAAGCATATAAAAACAACCAAACACAGTCGTTCTCATGTTGATAATTATTTGTGGTGAGGACGTCACCACCCACTCTGTAGTTAATAATAAATAGCAACCTGACACATTTCACGGACACTTAAATAAGATAATCATACAAAAGTCATTTAGACACACTGGACGAACTTTTGATCGCAACCGTCTTCTTTGCTTTTTATTTTTGACAAACGTTTTAAAGGGGTCCAGAGAAATGGCTCAGTGGTTAAGAACACTTACTGTAGAACCATGTGACCTGAGTTCAAAACCCACCACTCAAGCAAACTCCACATGACTGATGATGTAAGGGGAAAACTGCTTAGAAAATAGTGAGTTATCTGGGAAGAATAAATAGTCTGAGTAGTGCTATTATTTCATCTGAGTATAATTTTTAAGATCTTGGTTTTAAAAATGTGTTAGGATATCCAGTGATCACCGAATCTAGAAGCAAAGAGCATGAAATCACTAGGGCTAAACATAGGAATCTAATCCCAGTGTCTCGGGTGCTGTTTGTTACAGGTTTTATTATTATCAAAAGTATTAGAGTTCTATCTATTAAAAAACAATTTATGAATTCTTATTTTAGAAAGTAAATACAAGAAGTAAATAAATATAAGGGCAAAAATAGATATCCACCATGGTCTCACACCACAGAAGAAAACCCCCAAGAATCACTCATATTCTTAACCTGAAAACGTGTTTCCCCTCACGTGTAATCTGTAGCACACAGAGCAGCTGGCATGTTCTTCCACCTGTTGTTTTCACTTTACCGAAGCTGCAAATAAAGGGATAAGCCTAGGACCAGCGTGGTGTCAGGTGTCCACAGGAGCCATTCTCCTCAGAACCACCTTGCTAATCAATTTTCCTCTATATTATGAAGTATTTCTTTTAGTTACGTATGTAGATGTGAGGCGTGTGCATGCGTGTGCTTGTGGGCGTGTAGATATATGCTCTGGGTGCAGGTGCAGAAGAATAGGAGAGAGCGTCAGAGGCGAGAATAACAGCTCAGCTGTAGGTGGTGAGAACTGCCCTTGGCCTCTCTGCTAAAGCAGTCTCCACTCTTAATTGCTCTCTCTTTTGCCTCCTTAACTAAATTGGGATGGGAGGAAGATTTTCTCTCTTTCTAACCAAACTTAACTTTATGTTGTTCCGCATGCTCTAAACTCACAAGATTTGATATCCTCCACTTTTATAACTTTAAAGGACATTGGAGCAGAACAGAGTATACTTATTGTTAACTAATTATGACCTTAGCATGTGAAAAGAAGTAACTTCCAGTTTTATGTACAGTTATAGCCAACTTCTTGTGGTAATTATATTTTATCAATTAAATGTATGTGATTTTAAACTTTTGTTTGCCAGATACTTTTTACATTTTGCTTGTGTAAAGTCTTGTATATAATATTTTAAATGTACAATATTACTATACTTAGCTAATCAGTTTTCATATATTATTTGTGTGTTGTCAGTGTGGGTAAACACACTGGAGGATTTGTGATAGAACAAAAGCGCGATAATTTTTAAACATGGATGACAATGCTTGGTTAATAAGAAGGAAGGATGGCTGTAACTATCTCTGGTTCTATAGGACGAGCATCTAGAACTGACATCATTCTCTTCATTCTCTTTGGGGATTTTAGTGCCCTGAGCAAGACAACCTTGGAAGTACCACTCCATCATGGGTGACCACTCACACTGGTGAAATGTCTTTATATCTGCCGGGAAAGCAGGAAATTAAAGACCCATGCCAGTGCATTCCAATCAAGGTATGCTAGTCTTCATATGTACGCAACAAAAGGTCACTCCTCACAGTGGTCTGGACTCCTTGACTGAGGCCAGTGGTCCTCAGAAGGTACCTTCTTTGCTTCAGTGCTGGTGAAATCAAATATAAAAAACAATACAGCCACCAAAATACATCAGAAAAAGAAATCTAAGATTCATTTATTGGATTATGCTTTCCTTTTTTGAAATATTATCATTATCATCATTTTTTCTTACATCCTGACCACAGTTTTTCTCCCTTCTCTCCTTCCAGTCCCAGCCCCATGTCCCCTCTGTTTCCCCCATCCACTTCTCTTCAGAAAAGGGCAGGACTCCCATGGATATCAACCAAACATGGCATATCAAGTTGCAGGAACACTAGACACCTCCCATCATGTTAAGGTTGGACAAGGCAACCAAGTATGAGGAAAGGATCCCAAAAGCCAGCAAAAGAGTCAGAGACAGGCCCTGCTCCCACTGTCAGGAGTCCCACAGTATATGAGGCTACACAACTGTCACATATATGCAGAGGGCCTGAGTCAGACCCATGTGAGCTCCCTAGGTTTGGATCAGTCTCTATGAGTTCATATGAGGCCAAGTTAATTGATTCTGTGGGGTTTCTTGTAGTGTCCTTGATGCCTCTGGCTCAACAATCCTTTCTCCCCCTCTTCCATGGGGTTTCCCCAGCTCTGCCTCATGTTTGACTGTGGGTGTTTTTTAACTCCCTTTCAATGTGTGAAAGTTACAATTAAGCTCTTGACCTATTAGTATGCAATCACTCATAGGCGAGAAACCATGTGTCAAGGTTTGTCTTCCCTTGGACAAGCTCAACTACACTGTAATGTTTTCTGGTATTTTGAATGTGTCTTTTAGCTAATCATATAAATTTATTTATACTATGGTCAGGTGACTGTGCTTTCCTCTCAAAGGGAAAAGAGACTTCAATTCCTCACTTGGAAATTCATGATTATTTACATAATCTAGTTGAGCTTTTTTTTTTGGAAGGAGATTAATGCCTGACAGGGCCTCAAGACTTCCACAGAGTATGTGGATCGTGGGCTCCTTGGCTTTTGGTATCATTATATGAAAGTTCAAAATAATTAACACATTATGTAAAGACGACTTAAATCTCATTAAGCATGCAAATCATTCCAGACAGTAAATATACGTATTCCCTGTTCACCGTGTGCAAACACTGAGGCCAATGCTTTTGGTGCTTTTGTGTTTGACTCTCATACAAATTTTCATGTTGGAAATTAATAATGCCATTTTACTGATGGAAAAACTGAGGGTTAGTGAGGCTTAATTACTGCCCAAACAGCATAGGTTGAGGCTGAGAACTGAGTCCAGGTCTGCCGAGTCCGTTTTCCTTCTCTTGACTGGCCTCCATTTTGAAAGCGACTCCCTTTTCTGAAATGTACCTCCGTATTACGTGTGTTCTGTCATTCGGGTATTCTCTACTCTGTACTATTTCATCCTTATCAACTTGTGCAGAGTGTCAGCCTAGCATTCCTACCATCGTCTTACAACTGGGGGGACCATGCATAGGTAAACGGCCTGCAGAGGTAATAAAGTGAATTCCGCGGAGAAAGATGCAGGGATCAGTCCAACTCTTCCTTGCTGAACGGTGTGAACTTGGCCACGCCTCTCTGGCTCTTGACATTTCATTTTCTTAACTGAAAGGCAAGTGTTCTGAGAATTCGAACAACTAATGTTAGGGGAAAAAAAACAAAGAAAGTAAAACTGTCCGTTAATTCCTTCCCCAGGTACCTCGAGCAGTTTTCTTTTGCATCCAGGCTACTTCAATTGCTTCCAAGAGTCGCGCAGGGTCCAGATTCATTCGGCTTCCAGTGGAGCTAAATACAGTATCAGCTTAGTTTGCTTTCTCTGCAGCCAGTTCCGTGCAGCTTAGAGACCCTACTTAGTGGCGAGCATTGCCCTGGTTTTTAGAGAAACACTCAGTGCTACAGAAGCGCCTTCCGCCCCTTCATCCAATAGCCGCTGAAATACCAGCCCACTGGGGCGTGGTCTATTTTGAGCTGAAAGCCTCTTGGTTCCGGCTCCTGCTCCAGCAACTAGGCTCCCTTCCTGATGGTTGGTGTTTTGTAAGTTTTACCCCCCAAAATAAATACCTCTTTTAACTCAGTCTTTAACCACTTACTCATCCCAGGGTCTGCGTCCATGGTGGTGCCAGCTCTGCTTCTAACTTTAGTTTCGTTCAGTTGTGAAAGGCATTTAACACTTCTGGAAAAGAAGGTGTTTCCTCACTTCTATAATCGAAGGTTTAACATTTATTTTATGTAATTCTAATGAGCCCGTGCAAAATGAAAATAATAGCAAGTCACTATTATTTTATTCGATGGTATAGTTGATATATTTTACAAAGATTTGACTCTAATGAAGAAATGTCAGTCTTTTAAATTTCAAAATTTTAAACCAAACTCTAGTTAAACATTTCAGATAAAATGCTCCTATTGCTTTGTAATAAAAATACTGTATCAGATTTTTGATTTTTGGCCTGTGAGCGTAACCTTTATTGGCCGAGTCATCTCTTCAGTCTTGTTTTTTATAAATAAATTTCTGAAGAAAATGATTGGTTCACATATAGTATGTGATTAAATGAATAGAACCACAAATCTTCACAGCTATGTTTCCCCATTTTCATTAATTGAACTTACGGTATCTTTCATGTCAGCCAAATAGCATCACTGAGCTTCATTTAGTTACTGCCTTTCAGTGTTATTGATTTTTTTTCCCCTTAAATTTAGACGTCCTTGCCTTGCTCGAGCTCTCTTTCCTTCTGCTCCTGATTTGGACCTTGGGGTTTCAGTCCGGTGCTCCAATGTGGGTCTCTGTCTCTGTCTCCTTTCATCGCCTGATGAAGGTTAATATCCAGGAGGATAACTATATGTTTTTCTTTGGGTTCACCTTCTTATTTAGCTTCTCTAGGATCACGAATTATAGGCTCAATGTCCTTTATTTATGGCTAGAAACCAATTATGAGAGAATATATCCCATGTTCCCCTTTTTGGGTCTGGCTTACCTCACTCAGGACAGTACCCTCATAAGATCAGACTGCTCAGTTTACAGCATGAATGGGGAGGAACTCGTGCCACCCCACCCCTAGCTGAGGAACTATGAACTGTTGATCACCTCTTAGGAGGAGAGTCAGTTTTCTTTAGGAATGTGGCCCCGGCCAGGTTGCCCTTGCTCTAATGGATTGTCCCACTACTACGCGTATATTGGTAGCATTGACTGGACTCCACGGTTTGAAAGGAGGAGGAGGGATAGCAGGAGATGGCAATGATGGAGATAGGTTGGGGCGGGGGAATGTGGAGCCCTAGAGGAGTTGGAGGGTGAAAATGGTGGGTCTATATGCTTTACATATGTTGTATACATGTATAGAATTACCAAAAAATAATAAAAAGTAATTCTAAACACACACAAAAAAGAAAGTACTGTCAAAATAAAAATATGACATGTTGAAACATCTTCGAGTAAGTATGTAGGCAACACGCCATGGTGCATACACCTCTGGCGCATTGTTTTCAAATGGAAATATTTTTTACATTTAAACCAGAAACTGATTTATGATTATGGAATTAGGCATATTCTGAACATTATTAAGCAAAATTTGCACACTAGTTTCAATGTGTATTTCCCCCAATATGATATTGTAATAAATTATTCACATGCAAATTCTGTTGTAAGATAGACCTGTACTTAGACATCTGGTGAAGTGATGGCAGTAATTATTCTTAGTGAAGATCCTGAACAAAGTGGCACTCAACCAAGGTGGCTTTTCTTTGCCCTGTGGAGACAGAAGCAAATTAATACACTGCATAACACTGTTTTGTGAAATGTATTTTTGGAGAATGGATTCATTTGAACTTTAAGAATAAAGAATTATAGCACTTAATTATATTTTTTTTAACAAATTACCCTTATCAGCCAGTGCAGACACTGAGTAGGCGTTCCTCACCTTATACATAGAGCCTTCCTGTCAAATATCACAAAACAGCAACTGTCTGCATCACATATGCCGCTCACCTGAAATTCTGCTTACGTTTAGTAAACTAGCTATTGTTGGTTCATAGGGGAATGTTCCATTCTACAGTAAATACCTGTCTACTTTTGGTAAGCTTATGTAGATAGGCAAGATGAGTTTCCAGAAGAAAGAAATACAGGAATGCATAGAATCACAATGCACAACCCCTGCCCACCACACATACCCACATATACACGCATACACACATACACACACACACAACCCCTACCCACCACACATACCCACATACACAAACACACACACATACCCACATACACACATACACACACACACACACACACACACATACACACACACAACCCCCCCCACATACCCACACACATGCACATACCCTTGCACATACCCACACATATGCACATACAGACACACTTTGTCCTTCTTGTCTAAGGTGGGAAAATTTGGTGATGTGAACAGTGGCTGAGCGTCCTGCAACTCCAGTTGGGGAGCCATACTTGCTTTCACTGTCTGCATATTGTATACAAAAATTTGTTTTACTTCCTACTTCTCTATGTGCCAGTACATTGTCCATTGTTTGAGGGAGATATCAATAGTTTTTAAAAATAAGATTATTTTCCAATAATGTCTATTTTACTTATGCGGTAGTAAAAATATAACTAAAATAGAACCTAAATGATGCTAAAGTAATATTTGTTTTCTAACTGATTAACTTTCACCTAAGGAGGAATAACTTTTTTATCTATCTATCTATCTATCTATCTATCTATCTATCTATCTTTGAGACAGTCTCACCTTGCAGTCCTGACTGGCTTGGAACTCACTAAGTAGACCAAGCTGGCCTCAAACTCAAATCCTCAAGCTTCTTTCTCTCTCCTGAGTGTGGGGCTAAAAGGTGTTTATCGCCATGCCAAGCAGGAGGAAAGAGTTATTAAATTCCTTTGTTCCTTCTAGAGTACGTAGAACATAGATCCCATTAGT